GCAGGGTCGCTAAGCCGAAGAAGTCGTCGTTGTCAACGTCCAGAAGGGTCAGGACGGCAGCGGTTCACGAAGAGGTCCGAACTCCCCAAGCTCACCTTCAAGGACCCTCGGCTCGAAGTCGCGTAGAAGTTCGAACTTGCGGGTCAAAACATATGGCGGCGAGGCACCGTTGAAGCTCAAAGCCCTATGAAGATGGGCCACTTGACGGCACATGCGGCGGGCGTGGGCTCAAGCCTTCCCCCGCTCGAAGGATCGTCCACCCGGCAAGTCTGCTGCTCCCAACAGCAGCCTCACCAGGCCGTCCTCGAGCGCCCCCCGAAGGAAGCGGCAGGTCGACTTGAGCCAAAATGGCTACATCATAAATCTCTGTCTCTCTCTCTATTCTATTCTATTCTCCGGGGCATAGGGTGCGAGCGAGGCACCCCGCGCCGACAGGCGCACCCCTGTTTCGGGGCTTTGTAGGGGTAGAAGAAAGTATGGATGAGAGACTCTCTCTCTCTCTCTCTCTCTGTGCATGTGCGAACAAGTATGTAGACATGTGTATATGCGTTCATGCATGTGACGGCATGTGTGCATACTTTTGTCTGCACATGTCTGCATGTTGGGGACTGCCGTGCTTATTGTGATGTCGAGCAGCTGGCCACTCTCTTCTGCAGCTCTGGCAACGCCTGTTGGTGGTTCCTGAATTGTGAAGACCACTTGATCCCACTCAGGTCTTTGCGGCTGGTCAAGTCAAGCAACTTCTTCGCAAGGGCACGGATGTGCTTTACGGCCTTCTGTTGACAGTCACCTGTTTGGGATAAGGGTGTGCCCTTCTCCGCCCTCCTGCTCTCGTGCATGCTGCGCCAATTTTGTGCACTGAGTTTGCTATGCGCCGCCGAGTCACGAAGCTTGGCCGCCTGTCATGGCGAGGGAATACTTAACCCCTAGTGACCACACCAAGCCCAGAGCCAGCAGACACTCTGAGGCTAGCCTCCTGGAATTCAGATTGCTGCCTCGAGGTCGTGGCAAGAAGAAACTTCAATGCAAGGAGTGAGGCATCACATTCATGCCAGGAAGTGCTCGACGCGCCAAGACGCACGACCATTTTCCAGTAGGCTTGAGCTTCTCTGTCGATGCCTACCAAGCACCAACCCATCTTGAAAAGTGTGCCAAATATGCGTGACTGGCAAAGACCGGCACCGGCAATGGCGACAGAAATGCCTGCAGAAGTCAACTGGGCGGAGATCGCGTCCGTGTCGGCACTCTCATGGAGATCATAGCCCAGCCTTATCTTTGCGAGATTTTGGAAACCTGTCTAGTCCTAGCTGCTAGCTTCGGCTGCCTGCTGGAGAAATGAGCACGCGACTGCGCGCGCACACACACACACACACGCACATGCTGGAAAAGACAGATGTTTCTCCCCTGCTGAGCTCGAAAGCTAAATCCATCGGGCGACTTCTGCTTGATGCGCTTCTGCCGCTCCTCAAAGAGTTTCCCGCTCCCACCCATCTTCCCGACCTGGCAGTCAAATATTGGCTGAAAGCTCTGACAGGACTTACCCTGATGAGGAGGTACCCAGCAGGAACTCCAAGAAACCCAAATCGAATTCTGAGGCGTTTTGCAACTCAGGCACATACTCCTGAAACTCGTCGAAGGATATCTTTCCGCTGCCGTCCTCTCGCAGGGAAGAACACGAAATGAACAGAAACGGAAGGAGCGAAAACTGATGAAAACTGCTTCGGATCCAAGATATCCAAGCCAAGCGGATGACAAAAGTGAGGAGCCCTTCATTGCGCCTTTCAGACCCCCTTGCGAAAAGACTCGAAGACAGCCACTGGCATGAGTCTCAGGAGTAGATGTTCGACCGACTGCGGTTCGGTAGCTGGTTTGGGGAAGTGGGCTCTACCAGGGAGGTCGGACGATTGAATCCAGAATTGAGATCCTTCCTTCAGAATCTGTTGGAGATACCAAATGAAGGACGCTCGGCAAACGCTCAATGGCCCAACCGTACATCTGTTTCTTGCATGATGTCCACTCTGCTTTCTGTCTTTCGGCATGGAAGCACTGCAGCAAACATTGGCTGCCACTCCAGCATGCGAGCTAGGGCGAACCGGTAGCGGTGGCGTCCGTATCGATCATCTTCAGCAGTCGGCGGATGTCTTCATCTTCCGAGGGGAACCCGAGGTAGCCTCGGCCCCGTGGCAACATGCGACGAGACTGAGACTCCCTCAAGCTGAAGGGGCCCGGATAGGGTTTAGGGGTTTAGGGCTTGGGTTTGGATGAAATAATGATCTGGATTCAATCCGTATGCCCTGCCAGACCCTCACATGCTTCCGTCCCACACAAGTCATGAGTCGGAACCTGAGCTTTCACTACGTAAAGTGCATTTTTAACAGGCCCTCCCAGCTTAGCTGCTGCCACGGCACGGTTCATGCTTTTTAGGTCATTTTTCCTCAGCTACCATGCCATGAAAGTGCATCTGAAGCGACGAAGAGAATTGTGTGCATCATCCTGCGTGTTCAACGACTGCAGATCTGCTTGGGCCCATATTCCCTCCTGCTTTGCTGCTTGAGATAGCTGCATCCGACTGTCGGCGTCTCCCTGCTGGAGCTTCGAGTGACGGTGCTCAGTTCGGCAAATTGGATGTTAGCTGAAAGATGAAACGGATATCTCTTGAGCTTGTAGCTGTTCAATCCAATTATGTTTCCTCGTGCTGTTCGAAGAGTTTACAGCTGTGGGGCATCTCGATGCGTGTGCAGGGGCTTGGGGGGAAGAAGACAAATTTTTCCGCACTGATGCGAGAAGCTGACTATCTTTCCGGCAGTCGCAAAATCATTACGAGGTACTACGGCTGTCATTCTATCCGCGCATCCAGGCAATCCGGTTCTGGATCTGGCCTTCAATTTTAAGTCTAATTCTGGCAGCACAAACATAGATGCAAACAAATGGGATCATGAAACAAGGCTCCGACAGACCATGTTGGTTGGTCGCTGTGCCAGTGGTTGGCCCTTCTAGCGTGTGTTCTTGCAAGCTTGCAACTCTTGCAAGCATACTCAGAGCACTTGGTCTTGCTCCTGGTGCATGCTTTTGATGACTGCTAATTCTTCAAAGCAGCTCGAGCTCGCCCGTCTTCTGATTGTCGAAAAGGTTGAATGCCCGAGCCAGCGTCTCCTCCTCAGCCTTCACTTCCTCCAAAGTCTACACAAACAGCTTCAACAGCGATCTTGCGAATTGAGATGGTGACCTTTCGCTGCCAGGGCAACAAGTCTCCTGCTCCAGCCGGTCCAACAAGTCCTCGACATCTCCGGCTGCGGGGTCCTCACTTGCTTGACGTATTTGCCTCACCTCGGTTCCGAACGCTGCTGCGACCTTTTTGTTCAACTCTTCTTAGTTCCGAGCTCAACGGCGGAGGGGCCACGAAAGGTTGGATGTCTTTGCATCACTGGACACCCTGTGGCTTCCAGGAGTAGCTCGTGTCAGGGAAAACTGGCACCTTCAAACCACAAGCTAGCACGCGTCAGTTGCGGGCTGCTCTTCCACCAGCGTCGCATCAGCTCGCATCAGCTCCAGCAGTCAAGAAGTTTTGTTCGGACGCTGGCAACTTCGACTGCGTGGGCGGACAGCATGCTGTGTAATCGACACGGACGTCATGCGCAAGCCGCAGTTTCTACCTCTGCGGTCACTCGTGGCTCGTCCAGGTGCTGATTGCAACATCCGATTGGGCCATGTGACTCCACAGCTTGCATCCGGGCAGGGCGTGTTCTCAGTTTAATGTTGCTGCAGACAGGCCCAAGGCTTCTCTTGTGTGAAACCGAAAGACATGCCTCTTTTGCAAGCAGCTCCCTCCACTCTCGACCCTCCTCTCACTCTAAACTCATGTTCAGGATGTCTTGAACTTAGCTCTGGACATAATCATTCAGCGCATGGTGGGTCGAGTCCAAATAGCGGTGCTGTGCCAGAGTCTCCTCAGTTCTCCAGAATTGTCTTCCGCTCTTGGCAGCTTGTTCCCACCACATCGGCCAAGCTTCATACAGTCTGTCTTTCGCTGCTTTCCCGGGCATGCTACTGGAGCCAACACACTGCAGATGCACGGGAGCAGAGACCAGACTTTGCAGGATATCAAGTAGCCACTAATGGGCCTCGATCTGGTGCTTGTAATCGGTCTCCGCGACGAGGACGCCTCCAACAAAAGCGCCCAAGGTCTCCGAGAGCCCGAAGGCCTGGCCGGGCGGTTTCAGAAGTCTCAGAAGCCGATAGCAGACGCCCTCCAGCCCCTGCACCTGCGTGAGGCTGGAGGACAGCAGCACCGTCCCCAAGGTGACAGCCAGGAAAGCCTCTCAGAAAGCACGGAAACGCACAGGATCTTCTCTTCGCCTCTCCCAATCTCCCTTAAGTGGGCCTCCGAGGAGTCCGAGCGCTTCACGAACGCCAGGAGTGGCCGAAGGAAGAAACTCGGGCTGTGGCTCTGCACATGCAGGACAAAACTGCCTCGAACTCTCATCCGTAGTTTTTGGACCGCGAGTTAGAAGAAAACCAACTCGAAATTGCAATTCCGGGCTGAAAATGCATTTCAAAAAGACGGAGGAAACAACACAACATGTGCTGCAGATAACGAAATGAACGGTGGGCGGGACAGCCAGCGAGGCCTCGCAGACACGCGAAATCGGAGAAACCGGTGACAGATTAGACATCTCGCATTGTTGTCCGTCTCTTGCCAGTGCATTCTTTCGCTCTCGGTCACTCCCTTATTCCTTCCATGCCATTTCTTCTATTTTGCTACCCGGCATCTCGTCAACCAGAACTTGCTCTAACATCTTGGCTGGGTTCGGGCAGCAGCCTCTGCGGTGGAGCCCGAGAGGATTGTTGAGCCAACAGGCTACTGTAAGCACCCACTCTCGGGTGCCGAACGTCACGTCTCACGCTGCGGCTGGGCGCCGTGCTGGCCGGTTGCTACGACTATGCCAAGAGCTAGCACGGCCTGCGATCATCCGATGAAGTCAGTTTCACCAGCAACCACATTTCGCGCTCAAGCCTTGCCGAATGACTCCGCTATGGCCACCTGCCACATGAAGCGGCATGCTCGCAGGGGTCGGCAAGCATTAAGCATGTTCGTAGTCTCGGCCCACCGGCAATGCAGCTCCACCAGGGTCACCCAACAGTGGTGCTAGGACCAGCAGTGGCACGACCTCGAAGCTCAAGGCTCCAGTTCAGGAGACTATGCATTTTGCAACTCCACTCGCTGCCCACACAAACTCAGAGTGTCACTGCCATGTCCTGGAACAGAAGCACCCCCAAGGACCTGGAATGCGCCAGTGAAACAAGGCACCTCGCACTGGGCAGCAATCGAGACAGAGATCACAGAGATCCCGGCGCGCGTCCGAAGCGAGTGCCCAGTTGACGCTTGTCACGCAAGAGCTGGAGAGCAAAGGCCTCATTCAAAACTAACTTCAACCGGCACATGCTCGTAAGGTTGCGGTGGCTGCTTGGATAAAGAGTGTTGGTCACAAGCCTGGTTCTGCGAGAAGTGTGCCACTTGTGGAGCTCAGCACTCTGACTCGTGGAGCCGCTTCGGCAGGCTGGCCAGTCAAACATGTCCTTGTGCGGGCAGAACCTGGTGTTCAACCTTGTCTCCAAAACCCTGAACCTTTTTTTTGCCTGTTTACTCTACTTCGCTAGGCTGTCCCTAAGCCTGGCTCGGCATGAGCTTCCCCCGAGTGTGCTGCGGCGCCTTGCGCTCGCTTTCCGTTACCTTTCCTCTTCTTTTTCAGGTCGCGCGCTCAACCCGAGACTTCGCGAGCTATGTGCAGTGATACTTCTTGCTTGGAAAGCGCCTCGTCAAGTTGCTCTGCTTCGTATGGAATGTGAACTCCTGTTGTTGGGTACACATCCCCCCTTCGGGGGACGACAACAAGAAGCTGAGAACTGCGCCGACGATGACAGCGCCAGGCCGCCCCCCATCAGCAAGGAGGCTCCGGTTGACAGTTGAGACGAGATCAAAGGCCTCATTCAACTGACCGCTGAATGAAGCTGAATGAAGCCGCACCACTCTCAAGAAATCTTCAAGTGCGGGTGGAACTATCGGCCGAGCGACGAGAGGAGGGACAACAGGCCACCGGTGATCAGAAACTGGGCCATGCCGAGTCCAAAGACCTAAGACTCACCCAGGCCACTGAGATACACACGAATATAACTACAGAGAGAGAGAGAGAGACTAAGAAGGCATATAGACGTAGGCACGTAGGTATAACGTGCGTGTATGTGTATGTGTATAATATATACATATATGTATCTGTAAGTAATACACATATGTCAAGCTCCGTGTGTTGCATATGAAAGCGGCTGTCAGGTGTCTATGGGCCCTCTTCTCCTCGCTTCACTGAGGGCGCAGCATCACCTCGCATGGAGACGACCTTCTTGACGGAAAGCTCTAGCCCAGTCCTGACATGTTCCGAAAAGATACGTCTTCCGTCTTCCGCTGTTGCAATCGAAAGCTTCATTTTCGCTGATCCACTGAGAAGCTGGCTCGAAGAGAAAGAAGATAATGCCGAAGTCGGCAATTCGATGGCTCACCTCCTGTGAGGGGAGCAGCGCAGGGATTGCCCCGACCTTCCCGAGTCTGATCCGAAGGCCCGACAATATGCCGGATCACATCTGCACCAGCTGGGCCCAGGATCAGGCCGATGAGCAAGAACCCGATGATTGGCCTCAAGGGCTTCTTTCGTGTCAGAAATGCACCTAGGACCTCCTTCTGTTCAGCTTGCACGGCAAACACATCCAGCTTCTCGTGCTTTTGCGGCATGCAGACATGCGCGGGCGCGGGTCCTCCATGCATTGAGTTTTCGCAAGTGGAGGAAAGAGCCTGAATTTCCAGCTGCACCTGTTGCTGGGAAGGCTGGACAAGTGTCAGCTAGATATGCAGCAAGCACAGAGCAAGCTTGCTTTTGCAAGCTGCATGTGCAAGACGGCCTCAGAGAAAGCAGCCACTTGTGTGGGCAGCGAGCAGAGGCTAACCGAGCAGGAAGGGCGCAAACTAGGAAGGAAGAGAAAAGCGGGTGGATAGAGAGAGAGAGAGAGGGAGAACCAAAAAAATAAGAAGAGGAAGAAGAAGAAGCAAACACTCACAGACCAAGAAAGACAGAACAGAGGTAAGTTGAGGACGAAAGATTTGATAACCGGGCTCGGACATGCACGCATCAAAGGATTCGGATCGCTCAGACCCAAAAATTGTAGCGTTGAACAAACAGCTGGCATGTGCAAAGAAGCCGTCTTTGACTCGTCTACGGCATGCTGCCCGAGCTAGATGCATACAACCGAAACAAGACTGGCGAAAGCGATTGAAGCATGGACGTGGATTCTACCACTCTACAGCACGAGACTTCCGAATGCTTGCCATGTTCAGTCTTCTGTCAGTGAGGCTTTGCATTCAACCATAGCAAGCGACCTGAGTGACCTGAGTGACTGGAACATCGCATCTATGAGAGGATGGGCCTCTGGGCCTCATCTATTCCATACACACCTGCCTGCTCTCAGTCCTGGTACTTCCCCCAAACCTTGTCATCCCAAATGTTGGGAGAGCGCTTGACATCCTTGGCCGCAATCTAACCAAGGGCTTGGAAGCTCTGGCGGCCTAGTTCTGACAGCTGCCCGCTCAGCCTAAGCATCCTGCCAGCATCCTCCCATCCGACAAAGTTGCTGCCACAACAACAACCAATGCTGCGACTGCGACTGCCACTGCCCCTGCTACTGCTTCGACTACGACTACTACCAGTACTACACTGACTGCGGCTGCAAGACTTCGACCGCTCTGACCAAAACCACACCACTCCCACTGTTGCCACCGCCACCACTAACTTCCCAACTGCAATTACTGTTTCCTTTCTTCCTTCTCCTCCTCCGCCTGACCTACCGCGTCTATTGCTGGTGTTCCTGGTACTACTACCACTGCAGATGATCCTGTTGGTAAACACCGCCATAATCCCTTCCTCGATGAGTATTAAGCATGCTATGTGTCACAGGCGTCATTGCTCTGATTCTTGTGATGCTACCAAAATAGCTCAGCGTATTGAGTGTCATTGTTGTTTGTGACCAATAACGTTACAGGCTTGTTATTCCTGCCTTTGCATTTATTAACATGGGACTATGTGTGTTATTCTTGTTGCTCGTAAGTGCTAGTAGCGTGTCGGTAATTGCCCTCATTGCTAACACTAGTTTTTAGCGTGGTCGCTAGACGATTGTTGTCCTCCCATGTTGTATTCTTGTTGTTGTGCGCAGGATGAACACACGCATTAAGGAAAGTCTTTGTTTGCATGACCACTGACAGACAGCTTGCAACCGGATTTCCTTCGTCTCGCGCTTGGGGGGCTCGGCTTGCGCTTCCAAAGGGTTCTTCGGCACCGGCACCTCGCTACCAAAGCCGAGCGCTACCAAAGCCGAGGCTGATTTAGCCGGAGATAACAACCCGTGAAGTCAGCACGGGAGAATCTGTGAAATCCACATATATTAGGCAGTAGCCAGCTCCGAAGCGATTTGGCGCTCGGAAACCCCACCAAAAACACTGAAAACAACGTGGCCTTGGCTTCGCGTTGAGCTGTCTTGAACCCGCTGGAACCTCACGGGTAATTCTTGTGCGTGAGGACACGCCCTATCAGCTCTGAGGCCACGGCTTAGAGGAACCAATTTCGGTTGGTTTCCGAGGATCAAACCTCACCGTTGCGCCGGCTGATGACGCAACATCTCTCGAAGCTCCACCGCCGAGACACCGTGAGAGGTCGTCTCGCTGAAATGGTGGCCGTAGGTTTCCTGCGGTAGCCTCGTGGACAGAAGAACGGAAGAGAGGGCGATGATCCCAGATCATCTCAGCAGATTCGACTGTGCCTGGGCGCAGCTTTTTCCAAAGCCGGCAGCGCATTGTCGTTCAACCGAGTCCTGTTCCGAGGCGAACATCTGGACGTGATGAAAAGTCTGCGTCCCTCTTGGTGTCCCTTTCAAGCCGAGTAGGCGCTTACCTGTACCAGTGAAACGTGTCTTGATAGCTTGTCCTCTGGAGCAAGGCAACTTGACA